GATCTTATACCTGAAGAACGCCCAAACATAGAATCTATTGTCAATGATTTAACCGTTATTTTACTTGATTTCCAAATTGGGATTAAAATACATGCAACAAACAAATCATCGCATAATTTAATGCATGATTTGATTGTTTTGCATTTTTTTTTTACAAAAACAAACGCCGTGAACGAATAAATTAAATGAAATATGATTTATTATAAGATTTATAATATAAAAATTGATTTTCCGAAGACCTTTTTTTTTTTGTCATTTTCAGCCCTTTTCTCAGCACCTAGCCCATATGTACAACAAAAAAAAATGGAAATCAAATCCTGCATTAAATAAGTAACCAATTAATGATAAATGATAATTCAAAGTGTCTATTACTAATTACATAAATTATATGTCATATTTAAATTTCATGTTCTTTACACTTATTTGGATCCAAGATTGCTAGGTAAAGCCGTAAAATAATCCAATAACCATTTTTAGAGCCTCTCTTGCTTTTGGTTTATTGGACTGATTATTGTTTAACATAAGTGAGCAGATGTAATACAGTAATATCCGTCAAATAAATTCTGCTAGACCTTTTACTAGAGAGCTTTAATTAGATAGTATTTAATTATCTTTTTTTTCTTTTAATACAAGTTATATTAAAGACAACGAATATAGAGTGTTGCTATTTCGTACAGTTCAAAGTACTTTTTGAGAATGTAACGTTTCACTAATAAAAAATCACAGATAACCTCTGTTATAATTATGGGGTCAAAATTTTTGCAATAATCGATAGGGGTGATTAAAACATTAAATTATTAAATTTTAATTAGGTTTTGGTTAATGAATATTATTCACGAAAATTACCCCCGGATAAATTATTGATATGACCAATAATAAGATGATATTTTGAATTCAAGCCCCTAAATGACTTAGTCGATTCACTTCAATCACTAATGCGCATTGAGACGCGTTACGAATGTTAGTCGACGATACAAACGCGAGAAATAGCATGCAAATATTTGATGTTTCATTAAAGCTTAGCAAGACTAAGATAAATTATTATTAAAAAACATTAAATTTATTTGTTATTGTGAGCTATTAGTTCACATAAACTTATGGTTCCCATAATCCGGCAGGCTAAATTCAAAAATATTATTTTGGATGGTTTTTTGTTTAAAAAAAATTGGCAATTTCTATTTGTACACTACGTGTATGTGCACGGGTATGTTGATATCTCAAAATCCTAATTATAGAACAACTTTTGAGGTTCTGATAAAAAATATTCCTTGCAAAATTTTAGTATAACTCCAAACAATTCCTAATTCTAGAGTTAACCATACCCTAACTTTAAACGGGTTAATTTTTTGTTGTATAATTTATATTTACACGAATTCATAATTATAAGTATTCTAATTCTGAATGATTTAACTTATTTATCGATGTATATTTAAGGCTAGTAACCCCCTTACTTGTAACTGTCCGTATTAAAATTAGCATTTGCATTTTAAGCACCTGTTGTTACGATTCCGGAAGAGATTTCTGACGGGTTTAGCTTAAGTTCTAACCATCATATGGTTTAATTTAAAGGTGTTTTCTTTGTTCAATTATCAATATCGATTGTCTTAAGATCAAAGCAGTCCTTTATATAGAATTTTTGCTAACACTAAAAGAAAATATAGTACTGTAATAAATTTTTACTGCAGAAATTTCGTAACACCGCAAGATCTAATTTCAAATTTCAAGCTTAACTTTAGGCAAATGTAATTTCAGCATAACATTAATACTATGGATTTATCACAATAAAGACAAAAATTATTATTGTAGTATTTGAATTTTATATTTTTAAAAGTGGAAATTCTTAAAACTATTTAATGAAAATTCTATTCGCGTTGACTAATACAAGCATACATTTAAATTTATGAGTCGTTCGAATGATAACGATTATAGAAATTCGAATTGTGAAAAATATGCGTATTGTAAGTAATTAATACAAGTGATGCATAGTTCAGGCATGATCAATCTAAGCAGCAGACATTAGAAGATCAGATAACATATAGCATTGACTTAGAAGTGACGTATGGACGTCACTATCCAAATTTTATGCATATCGAAAATGTGTACAAGGTTGTTGGCGCAGATCTCCTGAACTACGAATCAGTTTTTAAGATTGGGTGTAACGTAACACGGTCAAAACAAACGTTCGTTCTGCCAAAAATTGCTCATAGCAAAAAAATCAGCATAGGAAACAACCTTATGTGCTCTAATAAAAAGTTTTCGTTAAACAATTATACTACATAAACTATTCCCATCTAGATCCTAACTTTAACCCTAACCCTAACCTTAACGAATTAAGAATTTAGTCTTCGCCGCTAACCTTGTACACATTTACGATATGCAAATTTTATGACGTGAAGGTGACATGAAAAGGTAGCTACCTTGACCCCATAGGAAGGCTTTCGTGTGATTGGCTATTTAATTTTACATTATTTATACAGTTTAAAGTACTTTTTTAAAAAAAAATATAACTACGAAGAATAAACAAAAATGAAGCATATAAAAAGGTTTATTAGGGTTGTAGGACTCAACTAGGGATTGGAACCGTTTAATCGTTTAAAAATTGCTCCATAGTCCCGAGCGAATTATATTGGTCGTGGCCGGAATTATTTTAATGCCAGCTAAATTAAACGGTTAAATGGTTAAACTATTGAGAAAATTTTTAGGAGGTTCCAATCCCTAGACTCAACCATTAAAAATAATCAGGTTTTAGATAAGTTAGCATAACAGCGACTTCTTAAAGATAGATAGAATTAGGTTGTTACCATACTAACTTCTTTAAAACAAAAAGGGATTTTGATGATTTTTAACAGTGGAGTCTTACAACCCTAAAAAGCTTTCTATATACTTCTTTTTCGTTTTTTCTTCGTAGTTTTATTTTTTTTTAAAGTACTTTAACCTGTATAATTAATGCAAAATTAAATTGATTTAAACAGCCAATCATAAGAAAGTCTTTCTATGGACCTTTACCTAAATATTTGCATCTATAGTTCAATCAAACAAGTTGAATGATCGGTCATTCACTAATTGATCGTCATATCTAACAGTCTTGGCATAAGTCAGTTCAGTTAAAAAAAAAAAACAATATAAACGTATAAAAAAAAAAAAAGCAAGCGATTATCATCAAATTCTAAATGTCCTTGATAAAATGAACTGGAGACTGTAAACTGATTATTTCATTCAAATAATTTATTTGGAATCGAATTCTACAAAGCAAAATAAAGCTTAAATATTTTAGATACATCAAAGAAGATTACCACAATCCATGTACTTATTATAAAGAATAAATACAATATAAATCAATGTATGGAATGTATTTTTAATACTCGGGACTTTGTGTGATAAAATTTCGATGCGACATAAGGCATAGTTTTGTAAATACCGTTCGAACTATTTTCTCTATGCTTTTAAGACAATTCCTGATCTGAGGTGTAATATCGCAAAATGCCTTGATATTGAATTATGAAAGTCTATATCTCTTGCAATATAGGTGACCATATTTTATAATTAATTGATTCTATTAAAGGGGACATCTATACTGCAAGAGATCCATTTAAATACTCATGAAAAGTTCCACTATTAATAAAACATATATTCCTAGTTTTTGTGCTTTGTGTTAGTCCATATACTTCGGACCCACTAATGATTAGTATATATTTAATATGATTTTTAAACTTAAAAAGTTTATACAATGAATTAATGCAATTACATTTTTAGCAAATTAGATGATAAATTACTTTCAAAAATCGAGAGTATCTTCAGAATCTGACAGAATCTTGAGTGCAACAGTGCTAGATTGTTACGTGACCTTACACAGCAATGGCTCTCTTAATTTTGCGTACTATCTAACTCTGTTGCAGTCTTTACCAATAATAATTAATTTATAAATGTTTAAATCCATTTGATAAATGCTCTTTACATCATGAACTAAATTAACGTAGATATTCACGAACTTAAATTCTTAGTTGACAGATTAATGATTCTTATACCCACCACTCAATTATCGCGAATAAGATGAATAGCTTATTAGGGTGCAAATTCGCAAAACAGATTTCTTGCCAACCATCACCACCTTAAAACATTTCACTAGTATTTCGCCAGCCAAATAGATTTCAAGATCAGGTGTAACGCAAAAAATCGGGCATAACTCAACATTTTACCTATTAAACTGCCTTCTGCGCACTAATCAAAAGTTCTCTTTGCGAAATTTTTGATTAAAAGGATTATTTATAATCTAGCTTAATAACAAATACGAACCCTAATTTAGCTGCAAAATTTCCTTTGACGAAATTTTTTAAGTTAGTGACGCTAGAGTCTTAGAAACATTTCTTTCTTAGTTTTGTTTATTGTAATCGACAAAGCTTGGCACAGAATTCTTGCGTGCGTAGCAAAAACTCAAAAAATAAAACGAAATTACCATAATTAAAGCATTCATTTCTATGACTAATGGATAAAATTAGCAATTAGATCACAAGCAAAAAATCAAATTATCTATGTTGTCCTTCGAGCTATTAAACCAACAATACTCTTAGAAACTTACCATTTTAAATATAAAATATATATATATAAGCACATATATATATCATTATTAATAAAAAAGTTATGTATTACTATCTAATTACATCTTAAATTTCCTTTACTACAGGGCTGTTTCTAATTACTTTTTCGGCTTTTCTTCCTCCACTTTTTCTAACGCGAAAACCATTGCTACTCATTCTACAGTTTCACCTTTCCAAACACATAAAGTTACGAATAATAACCCTAGCCAAACCCAACCCCTCACTTCTGAGAATATTACCATTGCAGTTTCTACCTATTTTACCTTTGTGTCAGTCTCTTCACTTATCTCTTCACCTACTTTTTTCACAGCAGAAACCATTACATCTTATTTTACAGAAATTTCATCTACCTTGCAGCTAACCCCCACCCCAACTATTCTTCCTTCTATCACTACCGTTTTCTACCTATTTTGTAACCCCCACCACAACAGTTTCTTCACTTATTACAACAGTTTCTTCACTTATTACAACAATTTTTTCACTTATTATTTCACTTATTACAACAATTTTTTCACTTATTACAATAATTCCTTCCCAAACATCCGAATCTCCTAGCGGAAATTTCGGTGCAGAAAAAACTTTTATGGTTATGGCTACTATATCAGTTTTTACAGGACTTTCTTTTACTTGTTCCACTATTCGCGCTTTAATTCTTTGCCATTTTTACGTAAGTAGATCGAGTAAATACAATGCCAATTCAGGAGATCCCACTTGATAACATTCAAATATAATAGGAATTAACACAATAACAACAAGGATCAATCCTTATTTATTTTAAAAGTTAACTACTTAAAACCTCCGAAACTTTAACGTAAAATCTTTATTATGTGAAAATATTTTCAAAATTATAAACTATACAGAATTCAGTCAAACCATTTTAGACTATGGTGATAAACATACTTGATGTTAGCACATTAAAAAGTTGGTAAGCTGAGCTTATTCAATGCTCACGAAAACGTAATATTCATAACCTAAGGGTGTTCTCAAGCGGCACGTTCGATGTGATTAACTAGTGATTGAGGTAGTGTTCAACCATTATAGCGATATTTAATTAGACCGTTATTGATGACCTAGTATGGCTGATAGTATAGTTGAACTATTCTTATGTAATTTCCTCAATGTGATTAATTTATTATTAGTGTTGATGCTCAAGTATTAAGATTAAATTAGAATATTAATTACATTTGATTTTGGAGTAAACATCTTTATCATTGTTATCATTAGCAATTAAGGTTTTTACAAATCGAAATAAATAATAAAAATAAAAAAAATGAAAACGATGGATCAACGAAAGGATAAAGTGTAATCTATGACACTTCCAGATTCTGTTCTTTTTCATTTACGAATATTTTTAGCATAAGTAATAATTTGTCAATACTTGAACGATCATTTTTTCTAATCAATCAATGAAAAATTTCGACCAATGAGCACAACTCTGTGAAAAAAAAGGACATCTGAGCCTCCATAGCATGATGGACTTTCGCATTTTTCGGAAAAGCACGGGATTTTTCATACGTTTAATCGACCAATCAGAAACCATATTGCTAACACATGATATAAGCAGATGGATAATCATTAAACTACGCAGCCACATAATTCATATATTATTATAGTTTGATCGAGTATGAGAATGAAGTCCATTTTTGAAGAATCTCCCAAGAAATAAGGGGTATTCACGGAAACAACCTACTCCTGAAATCAGGGGTGACGGGTTGGGAGACGTGTATGGCACTTCGTCCTTTCAAGAAGCTGAGTAAGGGGCAATCCATCCCTTCGCGGATCCAGAAAGGAAAGCCCTACTGCATGAAGAAGACTAGGCTTGGGAGTTTGTACTCTTTTTATAATTTACTGCAATTATATACAAGTTATAAATAGCTTATCTTACCCGTGGCAAAGCTACGAGATTATAGCAAACGAATAAGATTTTACAAGTGACGAATAACTCTTCTTTGTAATGATATATGTATCGCAATATTGAGTGTAAAAAAAATTCACACATGCAACTACAAGCATGAATGAAATTGCAGTTATGATAATAAATAATAGTAAAAAATAATAAACATGAAAATTGATATTCGATATAAATTTATTTTTTTCATTATTCACTTGTTCCTCAAACGACATCCATTTAATTTATTACGTAAAAGTATTTATATGCTTCAACAAAACTTTAATAGTTGGAACATCTAAATTATATTGAGAAGCCAACTTTTCCGGTGTCCATTCATTTGGATCTAAATTTCTTTTTTCCAACATTTCATTTAATTGATTCACAGAAATTCTATTTTTCTGCAATACATTTTCGTTCTCTTTAAGTTCTATTTGTCTATGTTTAAGAATTTCCAGTATTCCATCAGACTGTTTTTTAAAAGAATTAGAATTTTGATTAAAAAAAAAAGTATAAATCTATCATGCCAAATTGAAACCAACAAAGTTCACCTGTTTAAATGGTATTGAAACTTTTGGTAAAGTTACTTGACCAATTTCTTGTAAATTACTTAGTAGGTGAGGATCTTTACCATCTTCTTCAATTACTGACAATCAAGTAAATTAAAAAATGGGACAAATTAAAATATAATAATGACAATAATAATGATAATAAGTTCGAATAATTTACCTTTATTACGGGTTGCACTTGCTATAATGTTATGAGAAGAAATTACAGCATCGTCTACCGTATTTTGTTTTTGAATTTTAGCATGTGTTTCAGCTGCGCTAGATTTAACTTCTGAAGCATGTTGTGGAAACTTTCTTTGGATTTGTTTCGATCCTCGAGCACCCATTATATCTAAAGTTCAGATAAGATTATTATTTGTAATTATTTGTAATACACACTACTTTTATAAACATCCACCCGATTTAGATAAATGAATGTTACGTCATAAATCTTTTTCTATTGGGCAATAGTGTATACACGTGTACATACATACGCATGTACAGTTATGTGGCTCAAAGCTAAAGGATATTTCATTCAAATATGTAAACGAATTGGGTATGTAAAACTTGTTTGCAATTTATCTCATGCACAGTTTATGGTACGATTTATAGAGTTCGAAATGAATTTATTAGCTGCAGCAAAAGAACTGAACAATAAAAGCATTCATTATAATCAACCAATCACAATTAATATTTGAGATCATCGTTTGTTTTCTCGACATAAATATTGTACTGTTAATAGATATGTATTTCGTATTGTGAAACGGTATATTAATAGGAACTTTTCGATAATCAATTGATAAAGTCACATAGCTTTCGCATCTCTATTAATTAGAAAAATTTATTATTAGTAGATTAACATAACGGTTAGATTTCATAAATTCTAAATATAATAATATTTTTAGATTATGAATAATTTTTCTCTAACCGAGAATATTAAAAAATAATAGACAATCCAATATTGATATACATATCTGACATGATGTCTAATTATACGATCAGGTGACATATGAATATCAAATATTATCATTATATTCCATCATAACTTAAAAGGTTAAATATGGATTTTGGCGTTTAAATGCTCGGAAAGTCTAAATGCGCATTTACATAAGTATTGTTTATCAATTTACATTTCTAGACGTACGTAAATGCATATCGATATTAATACGTTACAACATTCATGTAGTAATTTCAGTTCATAAACTCGACAGGATATATAAAGAGTAGATGTTACCAATGTATCTTTAAGGAAGTTAACCAAAACCTTGTGATTCTGCCTTTAGATGTCATTGTGTTAAGTAGAAACTTACTCTGATTACCCTTCAAAAAGGGTTATAACAGAGAACAAAGATCCAACTTTTGAAATTTACTATCCCAAGTAAACTTTAAAAGGTTATATTTTAGTAATAAAAAGTGTAAAAGGACTTGATGGTATAAAGAATAACTTAAACGAAACGTTTCTTCTACCTCATAAAATAATAAACAACTAAATTGACGAATTCTGAGTATTTAAAAAAAAAAAGATGATAGTTGGTTATCACATAAATAAATTTCGACTCTTAAAAGCTTTTCAAATTTTGGTTACAATTATTTGTGGTGTTCTGGGTATATTTTTTATATTTGTGTTATGAAGTTGTGAACCAATATATTGTAACTTAACTAACCTAATTAATTTTAATTAATTTGGTTTGTTCATTAGAGATAACAGGCTTCATTGCATATTCAAATTATGTAGATGATGTAAATTCATCAAAATTATACAATGGTCGACTTTCAAAAACAGATTATTTTGACAACACAACTCAGTAAGTACTATTTATTTCAATACAGTTAACATTCATTGTGTCATCATTCCTCTGTTCCTCTTTTTTTCGAGCATTGGTTAATGTCTAAACCAATAAATTCTATGAAAACTCTGAACTAATTTTAATTAGGGCTGATGGACGAGTTAAGATATGGTACTATGTTGTAATAATTATTACAATAATCGGAATAAGTAAAAGCTTCGTTTCATTCCTACTTGGTGGTACTTTTAAATGGTCTTCTCAACTTTTCATTTCTTTTCAGCCACCTACTTATTTAACCTTAGATTTATGTGGTATACACAGTCTTGGTGGTACTTACTTAGTTCTGAATTGTTTGTATTCTTTTTTTTTTTCTTTTAAAAAATTTTTAAGACATAAAATAGGATAAACCTAGAAATATATATATATTATTTATTGATTGATTATATTTATTTTTTTCATCAGTTTCTTCTTTTCATTATATTTATCAGCAGGTAAAAATCAATTAATCTAATAGCTTTAATATTTATTTCTTTAGATACTTACCCTTCTCATCCCTTTATTCAGGAATAGCAAACTTTGATCCTTGGTACACTGGAACAGGCGCCGGCATAAATTGTAACATAGCCTCCACAGATATAAATAATCCAATATTAATCAGAATAGTAAATTGGAAAATTTTTCAATGTCAATTGGCTTTAGCAAGTTTATCTGTTTGTTGGGTGAACGTAGGATTACTTTTATTATCTCTACTATTATCTTGGCGCAGGGCAGTAGAGTTAAGCTGGCTCATAACACCATCTTCCAGTTTCAATGATGATATTAGAGGACCTATGGAAGAAATTATGGATTCTACGAATGAACGAGCGTTTGTTACTGATCACGAACCGGTAAACATTTAAAAAAAAAAAAAAAAAATTCAACCCAAAATAAGAGGATTGAAATATTATCATATTGTTAATGTACAGCAGAATCTTTTCCAAATGTTTCTTAATGAACCTCACATATATAGTTTCAAATGCTTAATGCGAATCATACAGAATTTAGTTGAATTTGTATTTTGGCGTTATATTATCCATCTATTCATTAAAGGGTCATTTTTTGTATATAATATACTAAAATTTTGCAAGAAATTTTTTTCGGTAGTGTACAGAAAGTAGTTTCTTTGACCAAACATTTAGATAATGTGATTCAAATCAATAAGTGATTACGATATGCAAAATTTAATTTTACATGTAGATTTTTATTGCTATTTTTGAATTAGTGCGATCATAGAATTTTTATGAATCCTCACATTATCTTTGTTTTAATAATGGTAATATACACTAATTCAAAAACAGTGATAATACCAATACTAATTCGAAACTTTACAGAGATTCACATAGTATCTTTCTGACTGTTGAACGATTTGAAAAAAAAGGAAGTGATATTGAACAAAGACCGATTTCTCTGACAACTATTTCGCCCAACAGCCATTTTTCCGACAAAATTGCTCAGTTTTATAATAATATCCCATTCTAATAATTTCCGGAGAATATACCGATTTCATGTGACTTTGCATGTCGCGGACGATGCTGAAATTCAGATGATTTTGAACTTTAATATGCAATAGCAAATAGGATTTTCGTAATTCGTTATCACTTCCATATATTCGCGTTGATCATTTAAGTCTACTAAGAAATCTTGATAACTTTAAACCTAAAACTATAATCTTGTCGCAGACAAAATTCCAACAAACCAAAATTTTATTAAAAAAATAATTCTAACATTATCAGTTAAAAAAGAAAAAAAAAAAAAGCAAACCAATAACGAATCAAAAAAAAAAAAATACAAGAAATGAATACTTAAACTATTCTAGAATATTAATAGTTAATAAAAAAAAATAATCAAACTAATATTTAATATTCGCTCCAATAACGAACTGATCTTTAATATTTATACAATAATTAATTGAAAAGTTGTAATTGCGCCACCAATCAATTAATTGAGGTCAAATAATTGCAATTAATTAATTGCCCTCAATCAATTATTCGGTAGCCCTGTCAGAAATTACGATAATAGCTGTAACTCTAATTCTAATCTGGACCTAACTAAAATGACCGGAATTACTTTGTCGGTGAAATTATTGTCGGTGAAATAACTGTCGGTGAAATAACTGTCGGTGGCTATTGGTGAAGTGATTGTCAGCGAAATGAGCATCATCCCCAATCATGTGTAAAATTGTATTTAAAACTATACTTGATTTGATAAAGAAATTAAAAGAAATAAATTAAAAGATGTTCGACCTGTGTCTTTTTTGCATTATAGGGGTCCCATTTTATAATACTGTACATTTCGTTAAAAGGGTTAAACTTGGAATTCCAAATGTAGCCCAAGTTGATACGAAATTTAAACGCAACCTAAGTTAAATCTAAATGAGTGTCGCCAAGAGAAAAGGGCACTTCGGCAATTTAAGTATATTACTGATTAATTATTGAGTTCAGCAACGATGCAGATCGGGCTTTCAATAATGCTAATATAAATCTAATATAAATCTAATATAAATCTAGTATAAATCACGTATAATTAAAGCCCAATCTGCATCATTGCTATCACAACAGAAGAACGTCGACTGATCCTTCACCCATATAAAAAATTTTATTTTACAATCCCAGATCATTCCCGCACCATTTTTATTATAATAAAATAAAATATAAATTTTTTATTATTTTCTTATTTCACTTTTTGTCCTTTGCAAAACTCTATCCGATAACCGAATCTCAAGATTATCCATTCTTACCTCATAATGGATTCGAAGAATCGCTTTAGTAGCAAATCGGCTAATAGTCGACGTTAAACCTTTAAAACACGTGAAGGCTTTTGATTTTTGTATTAAGGTTTTACAAGATCCAGCAAATACAAACACAACGATCGAAAGACACTCTTGCAAGATCTTCGAAATTCTAAAGAATGACCCACACAAACCCTGCATTATTGGAATTAGTGATAAGTTTTCCGGAATTAAATAGTACAGTTGATTATATCGAACTCCAGAAATAACGAACTCAAAAATTTGAAATTTCACAATAATTCGGTATAAAAAATGCAATAGATTCAAGTGCAAACATAATAATTTTCTATCACGAACTTTTTTTTTCTTCAGTGCACATAAGCGTTCAAGAAGTGTCAATTATGAATTCTCTTTAAAGTAAATGCAAATGCAAAAACGCGAGTGACAAAAATCATTGTAATGGGATGTAGTTTTTATCTCACTAATCATAGATGTAAAAACTTCATGTAATGCTTTTAAATTTAAATAATGAATAAAACCTATTTTAAAACGACTTAAATTCCAAAACAAAGTACTAATGAAATACACAAATACACTTAATTTTATTGTAAGTTGAATTGGAATTATTTAACAACTCGGACACATTTTAGAATTTTATTATAACCTACGGTTATTTGAAATCAACCTAGGTGCATTCTAAATCTACAATAATTTCATTCCAACGTACAACATGTTTTCATTGTTTTCCTCAGCCAAGAAAGCAATTCTATATCATGTACTTCTGCCAATATTTTAACGATCAAACTCTATAAGAAAAGAATTAGTTCAGTGATGAATCTTATTAATTAAGGAGATATGCATAAAATAAAGAAAATATCTAAACCTCTGATGAAATTATTTTTTATGATGCTTTTCATGTTTATTATTTCCGAGAAAGAATCGTCATCGTAAACTGATATATAATACAATTTATATGACCATGATTAACCTCATTTTGTTTATCTAATCAAATTTAAATATGCTGACCTTTTTCATTAGAACTTCTGGTGTCTCTGGATTTTCATTTCGTAATTTCTTTTATTCTCAACATTGTTAATAAGGATACCTTTACAAGAAACTAACTGTATACAATTTGTGTTCACGTTTTTTTCTTTAAGAATTGATTTCTTTTTTCTAACAGTAGGCCATAGTTTGTCCATATCATTCTGTCAATGAAAAAAAAATAAAAAAAATGTTATAAGTTTGAATTAGTAAATAAAATACTTTCTGCATGATATTGTAATCAATTAAGAACCATAACAATCTAAAAGATCTGTCAGAGGATCAGTTAAAAACATTACACCTCCTAGTTATGGAATGTCACAACCACAATATGATCTAAAAGATCTCAGAAGAATGACTAAAAGTTGAACTTCCTATGTTGTGAAAAACTGCAATTATCTAAAATATTATTGCAGAGAACAATTTCTATATAGGGAAAATACTCGCCTTTAAAAGATAACTAGCTATCTGTACTTTTGTGGGATTCCAACTTTTTTTATTTTATAAGCACAAGAAGGCTTTTTGCAAGTGCATATACTGCTTTACCGTAGAAAAGGTTTGTTTATATATGTTGTATCCAATTTTTGTGAAATTTATAAATACTCCAATCTTTGACATTATTTTCATCAAAATATATATGACAGGTCATTTGTAAAAGAAAAACGCGCCGCGTTCTTATTGACCCCATGAGATCATAAGACATTCGTCTGATTGGCTGATGTAATCAATTGCTCGGGTAACTACAAATAAGCAACAGGGGCCTGCCAGTCTACTAATGTTTATGTAAATATTTACAATTACACAAAATTTTATTAGGGTAACTAAAATCAAATATATAATCATACCGATACTATTTTTAAATAAACTATTTAATTCTTAAGCTTAGATGAATTTTAGACACTTAGACGTTGGACATGTCAAAAAAGCCTTGGACATCAAAAACTGTATCCTTGATTATAAGTACAATGTTTCATAATACTAATATATTAAATAATTATTTAAAAATGATGCATTAGAATCTATGTTCTCTAATTGATTATGTAAGTACTGACCACACAAAGCGGAGTTGAAATTTTATCACAGTATCATTTCAGCTGTACCACAGGTAAAGGAACTTATCTGTTTTTCGAAATTAACAATATCAGATGAGATTTGTATTAATAGAAATGTTTTTTTTTGTTACAATGTGTATAACAAAGTAGCGATGTTACCCAAACTATTTGGGACGAACTATGTGATGAGTAATATCGCATGAGTTTACCACTTTAGTTATTGCTGAAATAGTGTGATGTTATTCATCACATAGTTCGTCCCAAATAGTTTGGGTAACATCACTAATAACAAGAATTCTCACATGCAAGATAATAATAGACATGCATATCGTTATCGGGACAGGCATTTCACATATCAAATATCGATATGAAGGCATTTTGACAATAAAATAAGATTGTTGTTATGCAGCTAGCTGCCAACTATTAATAAAAATAGAAATGCAATAGCAAGGATGGAAAACTGGCTTATTAAGTATTGTAATGACGTTAATACTAGTGTAATCAAATAACGAAATATAGGGCGTAAAATTCAAAGTTTACATATTTCTGTATTTGAGCACTAATAATAAACATTTTTACAAGTATAAATTGAAAATAAAAGTTTAAATTCCAAGTTAATAGAACCATTTTTTGCTATAATTTGAAATCGATAATTTTCGTCGAAAAATTTATTTTTCTCATTTTGTATTAAAATTCAATTAAACATAAATAATTCATCTGCAAATTTATTAATAAAATGAAAGTTGAATCAAAAGAACCAAAAATTTATTCCCCATATAGTGGTGATGGTTTAACGTACTCAGAAATATTTAAAAAGTCGATAATTATAAAAGTCGTTCCTCGAGCACTTACCATTACAGCTTTTTCGGTGTTGATTGTCGGACTTTGGAAGTATACAACTTTCAAGCTTGGAATTAAATCGAATTTCATTACCATCACTGCATTTGTTGTGTCTCTTTTGCTTGCTTATAGAACCAATACAGCCTACGATAGGTATTCATTATTTCATAATTATTATTATTGATATAATTATTATTGAGGATGATGCTGAAATTCAGATTTATTGTGAAATTTAAAAATCCTATTTTCTGATCATCGGGGTTGTTAATCTGGAATCAATCCGAGTTAAATCCAACCCAAGTTGGGTGGGTTTAAAAAATGTATATAAATTTGGAGCAACTCGGAGCAGATCTGGAGCAAATCTAATTTAATGATATAGATTGAAGATTGGATCAACCCAATCCATTAACAACCCTAGTGATCACCTAATCCTAACCATTCAATGTATTAGCATCATTCAAATTTCATCCCCGACAATTTTATTAGTCATTTACATCAATAAATTATCAGATGCTAAATTATCGTCATTATATTTAAAGGTATTGGGAAGGAAGACGTTTATGGTCAACTATGACAACATCGATTAGGAATCTTGCACGATATATTCTTGTAAGCGTTGCACCTAAGGGGCAAATAGACCCCGAAAAAAAAGTCGCCTTTGATCTCTTGGAAGGATTTGCATTTGCCACTAAAGATTACCTTCGAGAGAAATGTTATAAATATTATGAAGAAGATTCAACGATCAATACGATCTGTTTAAATCTTGAAAGAGAATCATTAAGTAAAAATAAAAATGAGGGTAATAAAGCTAATTACATAAAAATGTTTAATTTGAAAGGAAAAAAGGATTTAAAAGGAAGAAATTTGATCACACCCAAACAGATAATTGATCATAATTTGCCACTTGATATTGCCTTGTACTTGAATTACTACATCACGAGCAAAAGCAATGCAGATACTATGTCGGTCACTCAAATGTACAATAACTTAAACACACTTACAGATTGTTTAACAAGCCTAGAGAGAGTTCTTAGATCACCAATTCCTTATGCCTACGCCATTCATCTTTTGCATACCACGTGGATATTTTGTTTGTCACTTCCATTTCAATTAGTTGGAGACCTTGAATGGGTTACGGTACCTATAGTATTTTTTGCCTCATTCATCTTACTAGGAGTCGAGGAGATCGCAGATGAGATCGAAAATCCATTTGGTACAGATCATAATGATCTAGCAATAGATAGTTTCTGTGACCTTATTAAAATGGAATTAGATTTTATTAAAAAACATGGTGATACAACATTGGTTAAGAAAGATATGGACAACTGGTGGAAAGAGGCAGCAGAAAAAACGAAAAACAATTCAGAACAAAATCCAGAAAAAAAATCAGAACAAAATCCAGAAAAAATCTTAGAAAAAAATCCAGCAAAAAAAAATGAAACAAATCAAGAGGTTGATGAAATAAAGATAGATGGCAAAAAATCAAATGATGAAAAAGATGTTAATCAATACGGAGACGATTCCGCAGTGTGATAAAGTGGTAACGTAATAAGGATTATTAGAAAATCGTATTACCGTAAAACTCGGAAATAAGCACCACACCCTCTAGCAACAGGAGGAACCGTCGATGTTATACGACTGATCCTTCACCCAGTGTGCAACATTTAAAAAAATACAACACCAGATCACTTCGCTAGTACATGTTATTATTATAACCCATATCGATATCATTTTATTATAATTAAAATTAAAATGGTATGGGATAATCATAACATGTACTAGCGGAATGATCTGTAACATCGACGGTTCCTCCTGTTCCCTCTAGCCTACTTTTTTCGACCTCAGATTACCTTTAGTAAAGATTTTATTAATATTTCCGCTGATATAAGATTGAAAAAAGTAGAGTAGAGGGTGGGGTGCTTATTTTCCGAGTTTTACGGTACTATATATTTATTTTCATACTATCTCTAACAACGTAATGCTTAATTGCATTAACATAGATATACGTACAGTGTTAACGATCATCCGTGTGCCTGTCTGTCCATAATACAGCACTTTTATTAGGACTTATCCGAACTCAATTTAATATCCAAATCATAGCTTCATAATATGTAATTTTTAATTTTTAATTAAGTGAAAACTTTGCTTTTTTGAGATAGTTCTGTTGCTTTCAGAGAACATTCTTGTATTTTTATATTTTTTTAAGGGAATTTACTAAAATAAAAGAAACTAAAATTACAAATAAGCGGCAAAAATAAGTATCATTACACATATAGTAAAATTAATTGCAATTAAATTTTATTATCGTTATCTTTATATGTACCGTTTTTCACTGCCTATAGTACCAGGGTCTTATTCAAGAACACCATTTTTAAAACTGAATAGTACTTGTGGGTACTGTGTGAAGAACCAGGTACTATATGTGGGGATATATTATATTAAAAGTAGTAAGTAAATATAATTGTACCCTAGTCTTATTCAAGTAACAAGCCAATAGGGGTGGGGTCTTAATCATGGGTATTATTTTGGGGGAATACTGTAAACAGTGGCAAACGGTATATGCAATTCCAATCGATCCAATTATTCTAAAAAATTGAAATTAATTTTCAACTATGTACAAGTATTCGTGATTAAACTGGTCAAGAGTCTGCCTTTTCTGCCTTTTCTGTTTCTAGCGTCACTGGCGTTTTTTCTTTCACTTCTGACACTAGAGACATAAGTGTCTCGGCATCTCTTTAATAAATGTCACGGCTGATGCTGATTTTGACTGGTGCTCTATTTTAATACAAAATTTTATAATTTTAGAGGTGCATTTTTTCAGCTTTTTGTAATAGACTAGAATTTAGTGTTAGAATTGATAATAAAAGAGTTTAGGAATGTAATGGATCAAGCCAAAATCAGCATCAGCCGTGATAATAACTGATCATAAAATATAAGTCCTTATTCGAGTACAGCCAAAAATCACTACATATCATATTATCTTCTTATTCGTTTACCCAACGTAGCCTGTCATCACTATACACATATTAGATATCCGTTGACCCAGTCTTTGAGAGGGAACGTGATTTTCCAAGGTCAATAGTCTTCGAACAAAAAGGCACATTTTATGTTATGGTTCATGTGTATTTTAGGGTTAGAATGGGCTATATAGTAGTAAATTACACGAGGAATTTTTTTTATTATAACCCCAAAAGCGGTTTACTAATAAAAGGTTTGAGATAAACGTTATTTTTGCAAAGCGAACGTTTGTTTTTTGAAACGGAAAATCGATCTTGTGCTCTGACGCTGTTGTCTTTGAAAAGTAGACTGAGGTTAACATACTTATATCTATTTTTACAGTTTTATAATGTCGTCACATATCGATATTAACAAACTGCACAATTAATTGACTCTCCGTGGCTGCACCATCAATCAATTAATTGAGATCAAATAATTTCCCTTCATCCGGTACGTCCGTTATGTAAAATCACAACATTATAACTCGAGCCGTAGCTATGGCTTAGCTGGTTTAAGCCATGGCTTAGCTGGTTTAAGCCATGGCTTGAGCTATGACTAAAGTTATAATTTATTTAAGCCATGATTTGGCTATATCTTAAAGCTATGTCTACAGACATGACTTGAATTATGACTACTAAAAGCATGTACAGTCAGACCTTCCTAAATTCATATTTCCTAAATGCACATTTCCTAAATGCATGTCCTTGTGTGTCCTCAATTCATATGACATACCGTATCATCGCGAAATAACGCCACGGGGCGTTATTTCGAGATACATTGCTTGAAGAGAGTTAATTATTAATTTAAACGAATGAAAATCATAATTTTTGGTTATTAAAAGTCTTCGGCTAAATTAATTATTAGCTCTCTTCAAGCAATGCGCCCCTGAATAATGCCCGGGGCGTTATTTCGCAACGATACGGTAGATTTATACGGTAGATTTTTACATCCCTGAATGCAAGATTTTTTGCCCGCCCCACAGTTATGCATTTAGAGAGGTCTGACTGTATAAAGCTTTAGTTATGAAGAATTGAGCCAAGCCAAGGTGTTAAAGCCAATAACATCTTTACTATTGAGTTGATATTCAATACATATTGTGGGTCAAAATCCAGAACCTTAATTATCGCATTGCGTGATGTCAGAGATCCAATATTCAAACTCCATAAGCGGAGTTTGAGAATATTGGATCTCCAATATCACATGGTGCGATAAGGGATATAATCGTAATGGGCATTTAAATAAACATCATAGTTTATTAAAGTTTATTACGTAATTAATATATTTTATTACGTAGTAAAAAACTATTACGTGAGTTTATCATTTCAATTTATAATCATTTTACATCAAACCATCATTTTTATCTCTGGCTTGGCAAAATTTACAATTAATTGAGTACTCGAAGAGATCACACGTTGTAAGACGTAAAAGGTCGTCGAATCAGTCGCTCCACAATCGGGTACGTAGTATAACCACTTAGGGTTATATCGGGTCTAAAGAGATGTGTTAGATTTGGCGAGTGGTTAATATGGTATTAGTCGAGTTCTATGGCGAAGGAGGTTTAGGTCGTTATTAAGTGAATGTATTATTTACTAGTTTATTTGCGAAGGGGAAAGCTATCCTTTCCGAAGGACCTTTAGGCCTTTATTTATAATTACTAAAACTTATTTACATCTTGCGATTGATTCGACTGATATCACTGATACGACCGATACATCGTATTCTACTGATATCTCCCAAAATACCCTTATGACCGATCGCTGCTATCCGTCATATCCGTCAGGTGCGACTGATAGGTCGCATGCGACGGATGCGATCGGCCTTTTCCCTAATTTAGTAATGAACCCCAAGCGGCCTTATCATGCAACAGCCGAAAGATTAACGATCTAAACGTGGTGATAAAATATTAATGAATCGCACAAGTATCAACCGCAATTCTTGGTTTGATTCATTGTAGTAAATGAGCATCGTCAACGTTTAATTAATCGCATAGTGAATAACGTTTGAGTAATTCATAATTTGTTTATTCGATTCATTATCAAAAATTTTACGTAAATATAATTATAGTTCTGCGCGATCACGATCACGAGCTAATCACATCAAGGTTGAGGCTTGAGAATACCTTAGGTTTATTAAATTTAAAGTTAATTCAAAAAACAATTTACAAATAAGTATATATTTTTTGTTTAATCGGAGTGAAACAAATGATTATTTTAACAAATTCTTAGATCCATTTCGAAATTCTTAGAATATTTAATTACGTATAATTTTAATGACCATTCTAAATATTTAACATTGGAGTGAAGGTTCTAGCATGTAAGTACGCCTTAATCTTTGTGCAGATACATTGATCCAAACGGTTTGTGTATTCGTGTATATATTAAGATTTTGGTATACAAACTACAATTGATTTCTATTTTTGAACAACACAATAGCGATAATTCTTCAAAAACGGATAATGATTACCCAAAAAGGGTTTATTTGTTACACGAATCATGTCGGCGTTTGGACAAAGTTAAGATAATGTTTGTTTAGTTTGTATGTACGTATATGTACGTACGCACTAAAATTTTTCCAAAACTACACTATATAGTATAAATTCGAATCTTGGTCAAAACAGAATCCCGAAAAAAAAAATCTCGACAAAAATTGACCAGAACTACAGTTAATGTAGGCCAACTTATCGGGATTATGACCTTGCCGAGATTTTGACCCAGACCCTATAAATTCTAATGTGAAGATAATCAGACAATTGAAGTAAAAGTCTTTATAATGATACATTAGAATCTACATTCTTTCAATTGATTTATCATGTACTGCGAAGTCGTTGAATTTTGCCAGGTATCTATGATTAAAAAGAAACTTATTAGGGTGATTCAGAATTAACTTATTTCAAAATAAGTGGGAATTTAAAAGATCCTACTTCTATTTTTAAAATCCCGATATAGTGAATTAAATAGGTGCACTCCCGATACAGTGAATGAAATAGATGCACACGTTAATAAAATTGGCTTTTTTTTGACAAATATTTAAAGAAAAACGATTATGTATATAAATAAGATTTATGGATCACGTAAATACGTCGCTTATTTTATCTGAAATCGGAGACCAAGTCCTTAATCCTGAATCACCCTATTGTTCGAATTCGATTTATTCAAAATATTTCATATACAAAGAATTATATGTATATATAATTCTTTCCCATGCAGACTCCAATCAAGTATTGCATAACCGTTATTGCCTTGCAGTCAGAAGTTTAAGTCATCGTAACACATTTTTTGCCGAATATTACTAAAAATTGAAATACCAGCAAAGATTGGCGTATGAATGTAAGGATGTTAATATTAGTGATAAAAATAACGAATGTAAAGCGTAAATCCAAAGTTTACATATCTGTTATGATCAATAAATACTCTCACAAGCATAAAACGAACCTAATTTAAATTCTGAGTCTATATAAGGTCGTTCATAACATAAAATGTTAAAAATGATCCGGTAATCAGCTTTTAATTTTACTTTCAAAGCATTTTATATATATATAATTTTTTATAAAAAGCTCGCCCGGTAATAAAATATAATACAATTTTTTTTTTTGAAATTTAATCCGACCGGCTTACGAGAACCATTTGGAATCGATAAATTTTTTTTTATTTTTCTCATTCTATATTAAATCCAAACAAAAATTCGCCTACCAATTTATTAATAAAAATGTCGAAAGATAATAAAGATGAGCAACCCAACAAAATCTATTCCCCATATGTTGATGATAATTCATCGTACTGGGAAAGATGCAAGAAGACGATACTTAGAAGAGTTATTTTACGAACACTTGCCATTACGGCTTTTTCGGCGTTAATTGTCGCACTTTGGGATCGTATAGGTATCAAGCTTGGAATTAAATCAGATTTCGTTACCGTCATTACTTTTGTTGTCTCTCTTTTACTTGCTTATAGAACCAATAGAGCCTATGATAGGTATTCATTATTCCATAATTTTATTGTTGGGAATGATCGTGAAATTTAAAATCATATTCAATGAGATGCATTAATTCTAGCATCATACAAATTTCATCCTCATCCCCGACAATTATTAATCATTTACATGAGTAAAAGATTAGAAACTAAGTTATCGTCATTATATTTAAAGGTATTGGGAAGGAAGATGCCTATGGGCAACTATGATAACAACGATCAGAGATTTTGCACGATTCGTTCTTGTAAATGTTCCACCTAAGGTGAAAATGGACGCTGAAAAGAATGTCGTCTTTGATCTTTTGAAAGGATTCGCATTTGCCACTAAAGATTACCTTCGAGAAATACATAATGAAACACCCGGTTATTATTCGACTCATTTGGATGTGAAAAAAATATTCGACAGAAAGCTAGAGAAATCAGAGAATAAACCCAATCCTGATGGGAAAAACATATTCAACAGAGAACTAAGACACCTTATTCCCAATGTACATAGTAAAAAAGAATTAGAGGGCAGAAATTTGATCTATCTCCAAGAGATAATTGAATATAATTTGCCACTTGAGTTTGCATTGTACTTGAATTACTACATCAGTCAATGTGAGAAAGTAGATGTAGATAATAACGATAAAGTAGATAAAGTAGAAAGTACGGTAATCAGTAAAATGTACAATGACGTAAGTACACTCGTGGATTGCTTAACAAGCCTAGAGAAGGTTCTCAGGTCACCAATCCATTATGCATACGGTGTTCATCTTTTGCATACCACGTGGATATTTTGTTTGTCACTTCCATTCCAATTAGTTGAAGATCTTGGATGGGTCACTGTACCTATAGTATTTTTGACCTCATTCATCTTACTAGGAGTCGATAAGATTGCAGATGAGATCGAAAATCCATTTGGTAAAGATCCGAATGATATAGAAATAGATATCTTCTGCGCACATACTGAAAAAGAATTAAAATTTATTAAGGACCACGGTATTGAGGAAGATGATAAAAATATGAAACATTGGTGGAATGAGGCAATAAAAAATGCAGAAAAAAAACATGCGGTAGAAAATCCAGCAAAAAAAAATGCATCAAAACAAGAGACTGATGAAATAAAGATATATGGCAAAAAATCAAATGATGAAAAAGTGGTTAATCAATACGGAGACGACTCTTCAGTGTGATAAAGTGGTAGGATTATAAAATTGTATTACCGCAAAACTCGGAAATAAGCACCCTCTAGCAACAGGAGGAACCGTCGATGTTACACGACTGATCCTTCACCCGGTGTGCAACATATAAAAAAATTATTTTACAACACCATAATCTCACACCTTTTTATTATAATTAAATTAAGGGGAATTTACATATGAGACCCAAAAAATGAAAATAATTACAAATTGGGGCCCGAATTAAAAGTATTTACATATAAGGACCCAATTTTTTTAAAAACTTATTACGAGTAGAAGCCAAGATATAAATAAATTTGGCTAATGCATTATGTATATTTAATATGTAATCGCAATAGCATATTTTATTAAAAAATAAAAAATATACATATATAATAAGCAGTTTATACGTATATCACTTGCAATTATGTTCGCTTTTTCTTATGTCTTTGGTCACAAGTGTGTGAATTTTGATCTTCTGGTGCAGTTTCTTCACAACTACGTGAGTTTTTCGTGGACGTCCTGCTTGCTTAATTGTTTTGGGTGGTAAAGTTTTACCATCAGGAATACAAGCTTTTATGCAACAGGTTGAATAGATTTCTTATAAACATTACATAAAGTAGCAGTATAGTATGTATAATGAATAAATTATAATGGTTGTTTGTTTATTTTGAGAATGGTAGCACATGTATGTATGTAAGGAAATCAATTTTGTTGAAATTTTTCGCAATTACAGATAATTAAGAAAAGATCTACAATATGGAAGGTATCATCATTACTTTTAACTTCAAAAACTGAATTACTAGCTTGATATACCATTCTTTTATAACAGCTATCAATAATGAATTGAAGTTGTTAAGTAATAGTTTATAGTAGTATTGCTTGAACAGAAGAATATGTTGTATAATGGTTAAAGTAAAGCATATTAATTCTGTAAATAAGTAAAATAATCATTTTAAGTGATTCTGCAAGACATTCATTATGTAATAAAGAATTCAATAATTCTGATATATTGGATATAAGATAATCAAATTAATTTTGAAGATATTTGTTAAGTATTCACATTGTAAAAGATATTTCATTAAGATATATTACAACTTTTATATATTGTTAACCTACAAAAATGACCATAACTCTTGAACTACTGAACAGAATTCGATGAAACCACCACCATTCGAATCAGCTCACTAAGACGATTCTAACAAGGTATAGATCATCCATTTCCGATCACAGGATCCCAAGATCGAATCCAATAATCAAATTACTAAAGAAACTGTGATCTGATTGGTTGAATGATTACTGCGCGAAATGTTATACATATCAAACATATAGCATTTATGTGATTTGAAACATCTATATTTTATATATCTTTAGTTTACATATATTATTTAGTTTATTTATTTTATTTATTTTATATATCAAACATATCTTATAAAAGCCTCATAAAAAACTCTTTCCCGTAAATCATTTTTTATATAGTAAACAAATATCAAATTGCAACTAGGCACACTTAAAATTTA